CACCTCCTCCAGATCTTCTACGGCTGCCCCTCCTCGTTTCTACAATTTCAATTCCAGCAGAGCTCACCTACAGGGCTAGGTTGGCGTCGGGTGTACAATACGGTGATTCTGTCCATGACCTCGTGCCCGTTGGGATAAGTGTGCTCTTCATTCCCTCCATCTATCCCCCCACCCCACCCTGGTCTGGTAACAACTGGTTTGTTCTCCATATTTAAGAGTCAGTGTTTTTGTCTCTTTTTCCTGCAGGGAGATCCTCCTGGCTGCCTCAACAACCCTCCGGCCTCTCCTGGTTGCCACTGACGTGCTGTTTGGACGGACAGACCCTGGTTTGCCTAAACCAGTGGAATTCCATCCTCCCTGGCCAGCGGCATTGGCTGAGGCAGAGACACATGCCCTGAGATGGTTTACTCTAAGGGATCCCCAGGATTTTCCTTCCACAGGTGGGTAGGACATTTTTCTCCTCGGACATGGCCTTGGACACACATAGGCCCTACAGCTAGGAGCAGCTGTCCTGTGATCTTGAGAGAAGCCCACCTTAATGGAGGAGGAAGGTAACCATGAGGAGGCCGGAGTGGAAAGACAGAAGCTTCGTTGTTGAGGACACTGACAGAGAAGCCATCCTCAAGCCCTGCGTGTCTTTGGGCCACGGACCAAGACATTCCCTCACCGAAAGTTGGAAGCAGGGAACTGCGAGACTCTGAGCGGTAGAAATCCTGACGGACAGCCCTCACAGAGGCCTGCACTGACTGGGCCTCGTTCTTGGCCAGATCACACTGCTTTATCATCAACACTTACCACTCTCCACGGGGATTATTTTAGTTCTGTTTTGTGAGTTGCTCATGTCCATCCCCCTCCAACAGGGGCCTCCTCTGTGTTCACTCAAGTTGTTCCTGCGTGGTGTGGCACATACTTGGTGCTCAGTGAATGTTGTCGAATGCTTGATGCCCTGTTCACGAACTGTTTCTTTTTTCCTTTTTCACTCTCTCTGTTGTTGCTGTCTTCACTTCCTGGAATATCCCCAAGTCCTTTCTCTGGCCAACATTTACTCATCCTCTAAACTGTAAATCATGTATCAAATACTCTGGTATCTGTCCCTGGATCCGTCTCCTCTGAGCTTTCCTTCCCATGCTACAAGACTAATCTCTCTCTGCAGTAAATGTCAGTACACATCTCTGGCTCCCTGGGGAGACCATGTGCTTAATCCCTTGATAACTGAATGCCTACTATGAGTCAGGCACTATTCTAGAAGCTGGCAAAACAGCACTGGACAAAACAGTATAAATACTGTGTCCCTGTGTTGATAGATCTTACGCTCTAGTGAGGGAAAGACAGTTAACAAGTGAGTAAGAAAAACAAGATTTGACCACTGGTGATACAGTCTATGTAGGACAACGAGCAAAGGAGGAAGGTGATGAGGTGGGTGGGGGATGGCAGGCTTAACTGGGGAGGTCAGTGGTGGCCTCACCAAGAAGGCGACACTTGAGCAAAGGCTTGCATAAGGTGACAGACTGAGCCAGGTGGATAAATGGGGAGGAAATATTGCAGGCAGGAAAGAGCAAAGGACCAGAGAAAGGAACTTCCTGCTATGTCCTGGAAACACGGGAAAGCCAGTGTGGATAGAACGTAGTGAGGGGACAACAGGAGAAGCAGAGTTGTAATGGGGTTGGATATATACAGGGATTTTGAGTTTTACTCTGAGTTAATGACAAACCATTGGTGGATTCTGATCATCAAGGTGACATGGTGTAAATTATATTTATTTTTTTAAATGATGGATTTATTAGAGAGAGTGTGTGCATGTGCGCACAAGGGGGAGGAGGAGTAGAGGGAGAGGGAAAAGCAGACTTCCTGATAAGGGGCTCGATCCCAGGACCCTGAGATCATGACCTGAGTCAGATGCTTAACTGAGACACCCAAGTGCCTGGGTGTGAATTATATATATTTTTTTAGATTTTTTAAAAATTTATTTGACAGATCACAAGTAGGCAGAGAGGCAGGCAGAGAGAGACAGGAGGAGGAGGCAGGCTCCCTGCTGAGCAGAGAGCCCAATGCGGGGCTTGATCCCAGGACCCTGAGATCATGACCTGAGCCGAAGGCAGAGGCTTTAACCACTGAGCCACCCAGGCGCCCTGAATTAATATTTTTGAACGATCCCTCTTGTTCCCGTGGATGAGGCTATTGTGATAGTTCTGGGAGGAGGTGGTGGTAGCTTGCACCAGAGTGGTAGTGATGAAGGCAGAGAGAAATGATAGAGCCTAGAATGGCTGAGCGTGAGAGGAAAGTTAGATGACTTCAAGGTTTTTGATCTGAGAAACTGGATGGATACAGCATCACTGACAAGGACAAGAAAGACAGTGGGAGGAGACAGTCGGGAAGGAAGACCAGGAGTTTGGTTTTGGACATGATCTCTAGACAACCAGGCAGAGATGCTGAACGGGTGGTGAGGCTGAGTTGGGGGGAGAGATATAAGTTCAAGATATGAATTTGAGAAACCTCAGCTCATCAATGGTATTTAAAGCCATGAGCCTGCAGGAGACCATGAGGGGGGAGTGTGGAAACAGACACAAAGTGCAGGGCCGAACCTGGGGCCCATGAACATTTAGCAGTCATGGACAGGAAGAGTAATGAGCAGAGGAGATAAGGAGCAGCCACGGAAGTTGGATGAGAACCAGGAGGGTCTGATATCCTGGAAACAAGGACAAGAGTGTTTCAAGGCTTAGACAATGACCAACTATGCCAAATGCCACTGCCAAGAGGATCAAGAAGCTGCCACAGGTTTAGCATGGGTCACTGATGACTATGACAAGGCAGAAGGGACTGAACCAGTACTAACTGTGATAGATAGCAGGCTCTGGATAAACACTTATTGATTTATTGACTATTATCAGCAAATGGCCAATTTTGACAGTCTTCTGATTCGTCCTGTTCTGGTTTTACCTCCTTTAATTCAAAGACAGTGCCAGCAGGGTGATCTTTCCAAAAGGCAGATAAAATCATTCCCCCATTTATATCTTCAATACAAATCATGCTGTTATGAATATCTGGAAGGTTGTACACATAAGGAAAGACGGTGTTTGTAGCACTGTTTGTAATAGGGGAAAATCGGAAATAACTTGGAATATTCAACAAGGAGTAACTGGTTATGGCAGGTAAGATGCGTCTAGACAACAAAGCACAATGTAGTCATTAAAGTATTGCTAAGAGTATTTCGTGACAAGTGTTTAATTTACGTTGCTAAGCAAATGAATTTGGAACAGCACAATATGTACAGTCAAGAACCTACTTTTGGGGCACCTGGGTGGCTCAGTTGGTTAAGCAACTGCCTTCCGCTCAGGTCATGGTCCCAGAGTCCCGGGATAGAGTCCTGCATTGGGCTCCCAGCTCCAAGGGGAATCTGCTTCTCCCGCTGACCTTCTGCCCTCTCATCCCCCCCTCCTCAAATAAATAAATAAAATCTTAAAAAAAAAAAAAAGAGAGAACCTACTTTTGTAATGAACAGACAACACAACAGTCTGTAAGGCAGAGACTGGCAAACATTTTCTGTGAGGGGCCAGGCAGTAAATGGTTTAGGTTTTACGGACCACATCCCAGGCACAATTATTTACTCTTAATGTGAAAGACCTCAGAGATAAAATGTAAATGAGGAGTATTTGAACCTCATAATTTTCATGTATCACAAAACAGTCTTCTTTTGATGTTTTCCCAGCCATTAACAAATATAAAAGTGATCCCACTGGCTGGCTGTAGGAAAACCAGAAGAGGGTTGGATTTGGCCCATAGGCCAGTTTGCTCAACCCTGGTCTACAAGACAATCAACCAAGATGTTCACTGTACACATTTACTCCTGATGGTCTGAGACCATACTTTTCTCCCCTTTATCATGGTCTGTTTTGAGGGAGACAGTTTCCTTCCAGATTATCTGCTTGGCTCATCCCTTTACCCCTCTGAAGCTTTGGTCAAATAATACAATTACAGCCAGGCTTGCCCTGAGCACTCTATTTAAAACTGCAACCTCTGTGCCTGGGTGGCTCAGTGGGTTAAGCCTCTGCTTTCAGCTCAGGTCATGGTCTCAGGGTCCTGGGATCAAGGCCCCATGGACGCTCTGCTCAGCGAGGAGCCTGCTTACCCTCCCCCCACTTGTGATCTCTTGTCTGTCAAATAAATAACTGAATCTTTAAAAAACTGCAACCTCTTTACTTACCCATGTCTTTTGGCTTGTAGTTTTTTTTTGGGGGGGGGTGGTTTCATAACACATAACACTTTTTCATATACTAAATAACATAATTTTTTTTAAAGATTTTTATTTATTTATTTGACAGACAAAGATCACAAGTAGGCAGAGAGGCAGGCAGAGAGAGAGGAAGGAAAGGAGGCTCCCTGCTGAACAGAGAGCCCCATGTGGGGCTCAATCCCAGGACCAGCCACCCAGGTGCCCCCTAAATAACTTAATTTTAAATACACTTGATATGTATACCTCTCTTTTTCCTCCCAACCCCCAAGACTGTAAGCTCCATGAAACCAGGCTTCTTCACCATACTCACTAATGTATTACGGGCTCCTGGAACAATGCCTGGCACATGCTAGAGGATCACTAAATATCTGTTGAATGCAGGCATGAACATTATTTTTAAAATAAATCTAATATACAAAACAACAAACCAAACATCTGAATCCCCATCACCAAGAAAGGAAGTCCACAAATCACCCCGCACCAGGTCCGTTCGCAGTCCCGCCCACTTCCCCAGCCCCCCCCCCCCCCCCCCCCCCCCCCCCCCCCCCGCCCCCCGGCGCCAAGCACGCGCAGTTCCTCCTGGCGACGCCTCCTGCTGCCACTAGGAGACGCCCGAGCCCGGTCGTCCTCCATGCACAAACCTGTTCCCACGTGACTCGCGCTGTAACCACGTGACCGGCGTCGCGCCCGGTGGGCGTCACGTGACAGACTCAGCTTTCCTCCAATCGTTGTGCGCAGTTCGGGGATTCCGCCCAGGACTTGGGCCGAAACTTAAAACACCCCACTCTCCCGCCAGCCAAACGGCACGGCTCCCTGCTTCCAGCTGGACAGCCGTGTCTCTCAAAAGTCTTCTTCTAAAGCGGCTTCAAGAGGCGCGGGCCTACGGCGCGTTGAACCCCGGAAGTGACGTCTCCCAGAGGGGCCGGAAGTGGCAGTGGAGGGAGGGAAGATGGCGGAGGTGGTGAGTCCGGTGCCCGGGGCGGGGCGGAGGGAGCCAGGGGAGGTGGGTAGAACCCGAGGCCCCCCAGTAGCCGACCCTGGCGCCGCGCTGTCTCCCCAGGGGGAGATAATCGAGGGCTGCCGCCTGCCCGTGCTTCGGCGGAACCAGGACAACGAAGATGAGTGGCGTGAGTGACGTCGAGGGGCGGGGCTAAGGAACCTGAGGGCGAGGGGCGGGAGGGAGTCAACCGAACCCTCGGGAGGGGGTGGGGCCTCTATAATCCGGAGGCGGGCGGGGCGCAGATACCCAGGAGGGGCGTGGCTTTCTGCCTCTCCAATGGATAGGGCGGGGCTTGGGGAGGGGGCAGCACTTGATGACTAAAGGGGGGTTCGGGTGAAAGCTTCTAAGTGCTGGGGCTTAGGGATCCGGCCTGGGGGAGGAGATCAGGTCTTAGGAGGGTGGATTCTCATCGCCTGGCTCGACTAAGGCTCTTGCCTGTGTTGTTCCCACAGCCCTGGCCGAGATCTTGAGCGTGAAGGACATCAGTGGCCGCAAGCTTTTCTACGTCCATTATATTGACTGTGAGTCCTGGGCTGGGGTGAGGTAGGGAGGCAGGGTGGGGTTGGGAGACCGTCTCTGGCATTCCTTCCTGAGCCATCCCCACTGCTGCAGTCAACAAACGCCTGGATGAATGGGTGACCCACGAGCGGCTGGACCTAAAGAAGATTCAGTTCCCCAAGAAAGAGGCCAAGACCCCCACCAAGAACGGACTTCCTGGGTCTCGCCCCGGCTCTCCAGAGAGAGAGGTGGTGAGTAGGTCCCCTGCTTCACCTTTTCTCTCCTGCCTCCTACTTTTCTCATCTCTTGGCCTCAGGGGCTTTTGGATGGGTAGAAGTCTGCACCCTTCCACTCTGGCTTCAGCTTGCAAAGGATGGGGGCAAAATTGTAGTTTCCAGAGTCCAGTAGCTATTCCTATGTCCTTGAGAGGGCAGAGGGTGGGGCTTCATTACTCCACGTTGAGGGGCCCCTACTCCCCTTTCCCATCCCACCACCATCCCCACCCCAGAGGAAGACCCTGGACCTATCTCTACAGCCGGCCTCCGCCCAGGCCAGCGGGAAGACCTTGCCAATCCCGGTCCAGATCACACTCCGCTTCAACCTGCCCAAGGAGCGGGAGGCCATTCCCGGTGGCGAGCCTGACCAGCCGCTCTCCTCCAGCTCCTGCCTGCAGCCCAACCACCGCTCAACGGTACCCTCAGCAATTCCAGGGACCTTGCTTTCCTCTGAGGTCCCACCTTCTCTACCTTCTGACCCACCTTTCTTGGTTTCTCTCTGCAGAAACGGAAGGTGGAGGTGGTTTCACCAGCAACTCCAGTGCCCAGCGAGACAGCTCCAGCATCGGTTTTTCCCCAGGTGAGTCCCCCAGACCCTTTTCTTCTTCCTTTTCCCCTCTGGCAGCCCCTTTCAGGCTCCTCTCACCACTCTCCGTTCTCTTCTCACCATTTTACCTGCAGAATGGATCAGCCCGTAGGGCAGTGGCAGCTCAGCCAGGACGGAAGCGAAAATCAAATTGCTTGGGCACTGACGAGGTAGGTCTGGGGAGGAGGGAGTCTGGGTGAAAAGGAGAAACATAGCAGGATGGAGAGTTTAGTGGTGGGTTTAAAAAGAAACAAGGGGCACCTGGGTGGCTCAGCTGGAAAAGTGTGCCACTCGATCTCAGGGGTATGAGCCCCACCTTGGGTGTAGAGGTTATTATAAAAAGTAACAAATAAACGCCTGGGTGGCCCAGTCAGTTAAGCATCTGCTTTCGGCTCAGGTCATGACCCCAGTGGGATTGAGTCCTGCATCAGGCTCCTTGCTCGGTGGGGAGTCTGCTTCTTCCTCTGCCTGATCTGCCTGTAGCTCCCCTTGCTTTGCTCTCTGCTGAGTAAATAACATTTTTAAAAACAAACACGTAAACATAAATAAATTAATAGCTAAACAAGAGGTGATAGCAGTGATGATTGTTGGTAGGATTAGGAGCAAGGTAGAGCTGGTTCGGGTCAGTCATTAGTGTTCTTTCAAACCGCAATTGAGAACTTTCCTAGTTTCCTTTTATTTGGAAAGTGGGGGATATAACATAGTAGTAGCCTCCCCTTCCCCCTTGGGTGGTTGCTAGGCTTGAACAAGGAAAGCTGCGGAAGGGTTATGCGAACTGTTAGGTGTCCTGCCTGAGCTGTCTTCTCTAACCTGGTGTTTTTCCCACCGGCCCTGGGCAGGACTCCCAGGACAGCTCAGATGGAATACCGTCAGCGCCACGCATGACTGGAAGCTTGGTGTCGGACCGGAGCCACGACGACATTGTCACCCGGATGAAGAACATCGAGTGCATCGAGCTGGGCCGGCACCGCCTGAAGCCTTGGTACTTTTCCCCGTACCCGCAGGAGCTCACCACGTTGCCCGTCCTCTACCTCTGCGAGTTCTGCCTCAAATACGGCCGCAGCCTCAAGTGTCTGCAGCGTCACTTGGTACGAGGAGTCCTGGGGAGCTGCTTTCCTACCACCCCCCATGCAGCCCCTGCCTCTGATCCTCCTCTCTTCCTCAGACCAAGTGTGACCTGCGACATCCTCCGGGCAACGAGATTTACCGCAAGGGCACCATCTCTTTCTTTGAGATTGACGGCCGTAAGAACAAGGTCTGTGGCCAAGGGGCAGTGGGGAGTCATCGGCACTGGTGACCTGGGGGAAGTGAAATGCACAACTCTTTCCTGCTCAGGAAAACACAGAGCAGTCTGGCCAACAGATTAGTTTATCCCATTTCTGTTGAATTCCTGCTATAAGGCAGGTATTGGGAGATATACTGACCAGTAATTAGACAAAACCTCTTGAGTTTCATAGTCCATGGAAAAAACAGATTTGCCAACGTCCACTTAGATCCCGGGGATAAGGGTCAGGAAACAAAGGGTGGGTTATGAGGACTGGGAGATGGCCCACAGTGCTTCCCAGAGGAGGTGGTCTTTGATCCTTGACATGAAGGATGGGGTAGGTCAGGGGATCCCAAGCAGCGGGGATGGATGTACAGATGGTATGAAAGGTCAGGATCATTCCAGCTGAAAGGCAGAGGACAAGGCAAGGCTGTTCCAAGAGACAGAGCTCAGGTGGCGAGAAGGTCGGCTGGGGGAGGGGGAGGGTCACTGCAGGTTTGGGGCTTCAAACCTGCCTTAATCATTGGCTGCGGGAAGGAAGAAGGGAGCCATCTGGGTGTACTCTTAAGACTGCAAGACCATTCCTGGGGCACAGAGGGCAGTGGGGGAGAAGCAGGCATCTTGGACTGCGGGGGAGAGCTCTGGCTCGGGTGCTGAGGAGGCTCGAGGGAAGGATGTGCTGCTTTCACCCCGTTCTGTTACTAAGACTCAGGCGCCCGGATGGCAGTGCCCATCAGCTGGTTAAAAGCCGAGTCTGATGGGTGGGAGGACTTATGTGTGGAGGTGAAGCAGAGCAGTAAGATTGTTTTGCTCCTGAAGCTGTTACTTTCAGTTTCAGAGTATCCTCCCTCCACTGTAGGACAGATCAGCCTCCAGTAGGTGTGACTGTAGGCCAGGAGAGTGTTGTGGTTTTTGACAAGCAGATTCCTAGACTGTCACCAGGGTAGAGCTGCTCTCCTAAACCCTGGCACAGCCTGTCTTCCTGGACCCACCACAGTAGAGGGCCGTGGAAGCTCCCCCGCAGGCCTTAGCTGGAGGTGTGGGGAACGGGTAAACCAGCCCCAGCTCCCCAGCAAGACAGCTGGGCAGACACTCTCCCGGAGTGGGTACTCGGGTCCTTGCCACTGAGAAGTAGCTGTGCCTGAGTGCCAGGGACAGCCTGACTAAGAGAATGGGTCAGGGGCCAGGGAGGAAGGGTGGTCACCTGTCACCAGCCTCTGGTAGAGAAACCAAACGGCCACATTTAAGACAGGGTACCCAGAACGGTGACAAGCCTTTTCCTTTGCAGAGTTACTCCCAGAACCTGTGTCTCTTGGCCAAGTGTTTCCTCGACCACAAGACGTTGTATTATGACACAGACCCCTTCCTCTTCTACGTCATGACAGAGTATGACTGCAAGGGCTTCCACATCGTGGGCTACTTCTCCAAGGTGAGCACTCACCCGGACCCGCCTCGGCCCTGCCCAGAGCCGTGGCCCCTCCTCACTCCCCCACCCCCATTTTCCAGGAAAAGGAATCCACGGAGGACTACAACGTGGCCTGCATCCTGACCCTGCCTCCCTACCAGCGCCGGGGCTATGGCAAGCTGCTCATCGAGTTCAGTGAGTACCTGCGAGCTCGGCTTGGGCAGGGTGGGCCCCTGCAGGGCAGGCCTGGGACCAGGGCTGCCATCACACCTCCCCTAGGTACTAGGTTGCTGTGATCATCAGCCCTGCCTGGCTGGCCAGAAAGAAAGCTAGCACTTGCCCAAGGTTCCCTCCATGCTCAGGGTGACTGCCCTGCCCATCTGGGCTAGGTTTGCAGCTCCTCATTTTTCCTTGGCAAAAGTTTTTAAACACTACCCAATTTTTCCCAACTCTGACTCATCTGTTCCCGCCCAGGGCCCTGGACAGAAGGCAGGTGAGCCCCTGTTGCTCGTCTGTCTGATTCTGGGCCATCATACAAATTCCTGAGCAAGGAGCAGTGCTTCGTTTCACTAGTTGTGGCCTGAGCCTTGCAGACGGCGGAAGTTCGAAATGCTGTTAATTCAGCAAAAACAAGGAAGCACTGACTAGTATGGCTTTGGCTTCTTCTCCTTGGGTTCAGGCAGGTCCATCTCGTGAAGCCCATGAGGGACTCGACTCCTTCATACGTGAACTCTTCTTTGTCCTCCAGCTGCCCCCTTCTGCTTCCCAGCAGCTTAATCCTACTCCATTCAACTCACCACTCAGTGGAACCCTTGGGATAATCAAGCCCTGACCTGAGAGACAGGAGGGGGCGCCTCAGCTGTTTGATGAAGATGCAGAGGCTTGACTTGATCAAGGTCATGGTCCATTTGAGGAATTTTATTAACAAAATGAAGCCAGGATGGGGGCCCATCCTCGGAAAGCCCTCAGCTTGGTAGAGTGGGCAGACACTTAAAATGAATCTAAGCCTTGAAGGTCAGACCTCAGTGGAAACAGAATGTGGGCAAGGTCACCAGCGCGAGGCACTCGGTCCTCCCGCGCAGGAGTGGACAGGTGCTCCAGAAGCACCCACTGTGGCCAATACTTGATGGCAGGTAGATGTTTGCCAGGGAGGGGCCAGGAGCTCCCACCTGGGGCGAGTGTGGCCTCCAGATGGTCTGTCAGGACTCCACAGGCACTGGCGGGCCCAGCAGAATTCAGTAGGAATCAGGTGTGCCTCCTACCCCTTCCAGGCTGTTTTTCTCTAAAGCAGCAGCCTCTCTGTCCCTCTCCCAGCTAGACTGCTCAGTGGAAGTCACAGGAAATTGGGCCAGGCTGGCTGATAAAGATTGGGAGGGGTGGGCAGAAAGGGCCGTGACCCAACATAGTTATGATTGAGGGCGAAGAAGGGCTTCTAGAGGTAATGGTGACACCCCAGAACCCTAAGGGACAGTGAAGATTCTGCCAAGAGACATGAAGCTATATAAGGTTCCACAGGGCCTGAGGGGCTCACTGGGAACTGTGTGCCAGTGGTCAGGGCTCGGGTGACCAGTCCTCAGTTACCTGCTGAGGAATGATCACCTTCTGACCCAGGAAGTGCATTGGTGCCTCTCTCTTTGCTTCCTGTCAACACCTAGTTGGGCCAGCGTGGTCTTGGAGCAGCTGATGCTCCTCGGGCCGCAGCTAGGGGGACTGATTTAACTGCAGAGCCAAATCTCTTCGGGCCTAGAGCAAACATGGGGTCTGCCTTCCCTTCTCACAGACAGCCAGAGTCTGGAATGATGAAAATCAGAGGCACTTGCCTCCCATTTTCTCTGCACTCCCCTGGGATTATAGCTGTTCCCATCAGTACCTACCTCTGCAGCACAGAGATGAAGAATGAATGGTTATTAGTTCTCTACAGGGAAACAGATGAAGCAGACAAGCCCCACGTGGCAGGACCGAGATGGGAACCCGGCAATTTACTTCTCTAACTTGTGTTCTGGAACATTGGTTGCACGAAGGTGTGATCGCTGACCTACCCCTTCCTGCTTCCTTGCTGTAGGCTATGAACTCTCTAAAGTGGAAGGGAAAACGGGGACTCCTGAGAAGCCCCTCTCAGACCTTGGCCTCCTATCCTACCGGAGCTACTGGTCTCAAACCATTCTGGAGATCCTGATGGGGCTGAAGTCAGAGAGCGGGGAGAGGCCACAGATCACCATCAAGTGAGCCTGGCACTCCCTCCTCCCCTGGGGGTGCATGGCATGGCCCCTCCTCACTCCTGGGGTTCCTGGGGGCTTGGGGCAGAGACGAAGGCCTCCAAAGGACCTGATCTTTGCCCTCCCACAGCGAGATCAGTGAAATCACCAGCATCAAGAAGGAGGATGTCATTTCCACTCTACAATACCTCAACCTCATCAACTACTACAAGGTAGGGAGGCAGGCAAGGGGAGACAGGTGCATGTAGGGCTGCAGAGTGCAGGCCCCACATGGGCTGACCCCCTCTGGCCCCGTCTCCCATCCAGGGCCAGTATATCCTCACGCTGTCAGAGGACATCGTGGATGGACACGAAAGAGCTATGCTCAAGAGGCTCCTTCGGATCGACTCCAAGTGTCTGCACTTCACTCCCAAGGACTGGAGCAAGAGGGGAAAGTGGTGACCGGACACTGGCCACAGCAGTGGCGACAAAGGAGAACTGGGGCTGATGGCACATCCCACCCCTACCGGGGCCCCCGAGAGGCACACCAAGGGAGGTGGCGCTGAAGACCGCGCCATGAGAGGACAGGCCTGGTAGGGGCTGCTGGTGCCTAGCACCAGGGTAAGCTCAGGGCTCAGATCAGCTCCAAGGTCAGCCGGCTGCAGGTCTGGGCCTGCTGTGAACCAGAGACTGGACAGAGCCAGGCAGCTGTGTACAGTGGGATGGGGGGGTGGGGGAGTGGGTGCACTCTGTACAGGGGGCCAGTGGCTGTAAAAATTTCTTTTGTAAAGTAGGAGTTGGGTGGGGAGGGGTCTGGCTGCAAAATTCTGGCCGCTTTTGCCCTCACTGCCCCTTGGCAATAAACTGTTTCTATGGGCCAGAGCCATGAAAGTTTCTTGTGGGAGAAGGGGCAGTGTAGTTTGGGGACTCCCAAGGTGCCCACAAACTCACAGGTGCTGTGAAGAGCTTGTTTATTGGCGGTGATGGAATCCGTGGTTCCAAAATGAAGAGCTGGCTTATTGGGGTGGAGGGACTGGTGACTTTCAATGTCAAGTTCAGGTTCTCAGTCCTCAGGCACCTGTGCGTGAATCTGCAACAGGAGTCACCTCTACTGTTAGATTGTTGACATACAGTGACTGGGTGGCTCACGTACTCTAGGTGGGACCAAGCTACTCAGAATGATAACCCCCTTCTAGACAGGTCAGGGGTGGGGAAACCACAGTGCACCCCCGACCAGTCTAATCCTCCAGTCCCAGGCTCCATCTGCCCCATTGTGCTCCCGGCCCCGAAGCTCCAAATGCACTCGGGCAAGATTCTGAACAACCCAGGGAATAACCTTGAAGTCAAAAGGAAATGGATGGGGCTGTTAGAGTGAGAGCCCGTCCACCCACTCACCGCTGCAGCGAGGCTGGGCCAGGTTAGGGCCCCGCGCACTTTGGCATCCGGACCAGGGATGGTCTCCAGGCCCCACAGTGTGAAGCGCCTGAAACTGGCAGTAGCTCCGATAAACTGGTCCTGAGGAAGGGGCCCAGCTCAACATCGGGGCCACCGCTGCCGCCCCAACCCCCCTCCGCCCCTGTCCCCCTGTGCTCACAAAGTCCCGCTCCAGCGCCTCGGGGGGCTCCGCCAGCTCCTGCTCCTCTCGCTCATCTTCATTCGACGAACGTTCCGAGAAATCCTTCCCCACCGGCACCTCTCCCTTTTCTTCCATCACCGTCACGTATCCCACGAGGCCGGGCGGCACCACCACCTCCTCGCCCCGTAGTCTGCGGCCCCGAAACGACACTTCGAGTCCTGCAGGAAGCAGGCGCAGGGTCTCGGTGAGGGCCTGATTCAGGCCTTGCAGGGCAAGCCCCGTGGGGCCGTCCCTCCACCTCAGGTGGACCACGATCCCCAGGAGTCCTTGCGCCGCTCCTCGCCCAAGAGAGCGCGGCGTGGGCGCGGGGGCTGCCGGGAGCCGTAGTCCCGCGCTGAACACTCACCATCCGGACCCTGGCGGATGGCTGGGGTGAAGAAGCGCTCCACCGGGGCGGGCCCGTTAACCTGAACCTCGCAGGGCAGAAGATGCAGCGTGGCGCAGGCGGCGTCGCGCAGCGTGCCAGGGCGCAAGTGGACGCGGCACTTCTCAACAGCCACCTCGTCGCTGCTTTCCATCCTCCGCCGCGATCCCGCCGCTCGCTGGCTAAGGCCAAAGCTGGCGCGTAAAGCGCGCGGAGCCTGTCGGGAGGCCGGGGACGATAAGCGCAGAGGCTCCTGGGAGGCATAGTCCTTCCCTGAGGCTCCTCTGAGCCTCTGCGAGCCCCGCCTTTCCCTGTTCAAGTCCCGGTCTTTTTTTCTCGAAAATATTTTTCGGTGGTACATTCTTATTGTAAAAAATTAAAACTACGAAAATTACTCTTTTTATGTTATCGGTAGGGAGAGTTGCTCGTTCGTTTGTTTTAATAGGACATCAACCCTTCCTCAAATGCGTGGAAGATACTGTATCCTAGTTCGTGGTTTGTTTTCCAAACAGCGACTTTTATTTTTTTTGTAGTAGATTTATCAACCTTTTCTTCTTATGCCTTTTTTGTTTTCACAGTACTATTTCGTTTTTGGTTTCTTAAGCCCTCTCTGTTTATTTGCCCAGATACCCAAGTTAGATATGTTTTGCCAAGTTCTTTCATAAAACAAGCACATACAAAACTGGCAATTAAGATTACAGTTGCACTTGATTTATAGACTTGAGAAAAAAGCACACCTCTAGACGTCCAGGTGCTGTGCGTGGTGTTCTGTGAAACAGGAACAATTTCACAGTACATCAACATCAGACGATGTCACTCTGTGACGGGCGGGATCAAGACAAAAACAAGATCATGTGAACAACAGCAAAGACAGGAACATTGTCCAGACCTTAAAAATGATGAAACATCCCTCCATCTTGGGTAATATACGTGACCTTTACCAATTGTAGCTTTAGCTTTTGTCTAGGTAGGATTTGTTAACGTATCCCATCCTAGAAACACTCCCACTTCTGACAGTATCCAATCCAGAGGAAAACTCTGGCTTTCTTAAACCTTCCCCTGTATCACCTAGCACAAGCCCAAATCCTACAAATCCTTCCTAAACACCCTCCTACTCAGATGCCCAACAACAGTGCAAGAGTAAAAAATCCATTCATTCAACTACAGGTGTGTTCTTGGTAGTCTTTGGCTGGAGGGTTTTAAAAGATAAGAGTCTTGCTTTAGTTTTCTATCAAGCGTAAGATACATAATACCACTTATTCACGTCTCCTTTTATGTCTGTGCAATTGTGAAGTTTTCTTTATATATAATAGTTATTAAATATTTTAAAGTTTATTCTAGATAGCTTTTATTTTTTTCGGTTACAAAATAGATTTTTTCCATTTTATTTTATTATTTTTTTTAAGAGATGGAGGGATGGGGAGGGACAGAAGGAGAGGGGGAGAGAGACTTTTAAAAAAAGATTTTATTTATTTATGAGAGACAGAGAACAGGGGGAGGAGCAGAGGGAGAGGGATAAGCAGACTCCGTGCTGAGCGCAGAAATGGATGCCCGGCTCGATTTCATAACCCTTAGATTATGACCTGAGCCAAAAAATCAAGTCAGTTGCTTAACCAACTGAGCCACCCAGGTGCCCCGCTTTCCATTTTGTTTTAACTATTATTTATCTAAAGCAGAGGTTGGCAAATTTCACATATGATCTCTGTCACAATTACTCAACTTTGTCATTGTAGCATAAAAACAGCTATAAACAATATGCAAATAAATAAGCATGGCTGTCTTCCAAAAAAACATTGTTTGCAAAAACAAGGCGTGAGCTGGATTTGGTTGGCAGGCATAGCTTTTGGGAAATCTGTTGATTCTCACACATTAGTTCTTAAACCAGATAGATACTGGATTCTTCTGTTATTTCTAAGAGTTTTCATTTTATTTTCTTGGGTCTTCCAGAATTAGTCCTTCCACTTCCAAACAATGATAACTTTGCCTCCTCATTGCATTATGTACTTTGTAGCATTTTCTAACACTTTCAGAACAATTTCACATTCACTAGTATCAGTGGACATCTTTTTCTTTTTTCCTGAAATTTTCGTGGGAATGCTTTGCCATTTCACCAATAATCATGAAGCTGACTTTCAATTTGTTATACACATCTGGTTACAGTTATACTACTAACCGATTTTTTTTAACTCAGGAGTAGATGTTGGATTTTATTTTTATATTTTTGATTCTGCAACTTTCCCACAGTCTAGATTCTACTGATTGTGTTCCTAGGGTTATGGGCATCTGTCCTACAGTTCCTGCAAATTAATAGTGAGATCTAGAAGTGCCGTCAGATACTTGGGGTGGCGCGCCAGGGGGAGGCAAGATTTATTTCAAGGAGATGGCTTCTTTTTCTGTCAGGGGTCTCCTCATATCTCTTTTTTGTGAGGTTAGCAGTCATAGATGATCACTGTCTAGATCCTTTCATTCATTAGGGGTTAAAAAAGCTGATATTCTAAGTTCACCATTCTTCTTCTTTTTTTAAGGTTAAAAAAATTTATTTACTTATTTATTTCACAGAAAGACAGAGAGAGAGAGAGCACAAGAAGGCAGAGTGGCAGGCAGAGGGAGAGGAAGAAGTAGGCTCCACGCCGAACAGGGAGCCTGATGCGGTGCTCTATAACAGGACCCCGAGACCATGACCTGAGCCGAAGGCAGCCGCTCAACCGACTGAGCCTCCCAGGCACCCCAAGATTTTTAATTTATTCACTTGAGAGGGAGACACAGAGCAAGCAGAGGAAGAGGAAGAGGGAGAGGGAGAAGCAGACTTTCAGCTGAGCTGGGAGCCTAACATGGGGCTTGATCCTAGCACCTGGAGATCATGACCTGAGCCAAAGGCAGACACCCAACCATCTGAGTCATCCAGGTGCCCCCTAAGTCAGCCATTCTTCTTTCACTGTTTATAATACTTCTATCAAGACAACAGCCCTTCACCAACTATCTGGTTGCCTCTTGGTACAATGAGTATAAGTAAAGCAAAATAATTGTTTGATGCTTTCCTTTTATTTCTGTTTTTAAAATAATAAGTTGTTTCCCTGGCATGCTCCAACTATGACCTTTTAAAAAAATTATTAAATAGATAATTAAATAGATTTTTAACATTTTTATATAATTTGGCTAACTGTGGTTATTATTCTTTTTAAAAAAGGTTTATTTAACCAGAAATAGGCCCTCAACTCTATGGTCAACTAATCTTCAGCAAAGCAGGAAAGAATGTCCAATGGAAAAAAGACAGTCTCTTCAACAAATGGTGTTGGGGAAATTGGACAGCCACATGCAGAAAAATGAAACTGGACCATTTCCTTACACCACACACGAAAATAGACTCAAAATGGATGAAGGACCTCAATGTGAGAAAGGAATCCATCAAAATCCTCGAGGAGAACACAGGCAGCAACCTCTTCGACCTCAGCCGCAGCAACTTCTTCCTGGGAACATCGCCAAAGGCAAGGGAAGCAAGGGCAAAAATGAACTATTGGGATTTCATCAAGATCAAAAGCTTTTGCACAGCAAAGGAAACAGTCAACAAAACC